GTGCCCTGCCAGCAGAGCGGGGCAGGTTTGTCCCCCTGCAGACACAGGTCCTCATCAGGCACAAGTCCCCAGCACGCACAGGCCACCCTCGGTGTGGGGGAAAACCAAGGGGGGGTCATTCCTTCTGGGCCCCCATCGGCTCCCTCCTCCTCCTTCTCCGCAAGCAGCGGGGCCAGGGGGCCGCAGCCCCCGCACAAAGCTGCTTTACATGAGAAGAGGGGCCCAGGCGGCCGCAGTGCCGGCCTCCGCCTCCCGGCCCCTGGCCCGCAGAAAGGGGCCTCCTTCACTCCTGGCTTCCGACCTCCCCCTGCTCATACATGCACGCACACTCACACCTGTAGGTGCACGCCACACACGTACACACTCGGGGTTGGGGGTCCCCTGGCCTGGGGACACCGTTCCCCTTGAGAAGAGAAGCCCGAGGCTTCCCAGGGCTGCCCCCCCAAAGCAGGCTCAGTCCTGGCCCCAGCTCCCCACTGCCACAGCCAGGCTCTGCTCATCTCTGCAGCACCGAGGGAAACTGAGGCAGGGGTGAGTGGCCTCACGCAGCATCGAGGAAGGCACCCAGTCCCAGGGTGAGGGCCACCCATCCTCTATGGCTCAGCACCCCTAGGGTGCCAGATCCCCCTCACCCCAAAGCCCAAGCAGGCAGGGCTGGGTGCCCCCCACCCACTGAGCACCAGCGTGGTGGGGGTGCCATGCTGAGAAGAGGCATAAGTCACCAGGACACCTGGGTCCCACTGGGGGAGCTGCCACCCTTCCTGGGGTGTGCCAGCCACCCATGCTCCCTGCTCTGGGGCTCTCCCCACCCGGCTCAGAACGGATCCATCTCCCTGAGTGGACACGTCTGGCTCAGCCACCCCATGGTGGGTGGGGGTCCCATAGTGTGGGTGGGGGTCCCACTGCCCACCTGGGTGGAGCAGGAGCTCCCTCTCGTGGGCACAGCTGCGGTGCTAAGCAGGGCCCAGGGTGCCCACCCAGGACCCAAGGGTGGGGTGGCTGCAGAACATGTGTCCCTTCAACGGAGCCACCCGTGGGGCTGCTGAACATAGCGTGTCCGGGCGCCCCAGGCAGGCATCCCAGCTCCACCCTGCCCGCTTGGACTCGTCTGGGTGGACAACGGGGCAACAGTCCCCTTTGAAAATGCAGCAGTAATTCCTGGAAGGAGAAAGGCTGCTTCCCTCTGTGCCTCAGCTTCTCCACACTCTTAAAATGCAGGGCAGTCCCTGGGGCACAAGGAGCCGTCGGGATGTCAGCAGGGAGACAGACTACAACTGATGGAGGAGAGGCAGAGGCCTGGCAGCTCCAGACCAGCAGCTGCTCCTCGCCCAGGCAGGTGGGACCAGAGACCTGATGCAAGATGAGATGGGTGACCCCCAGTGCTGAGGTGTTTGGGGGAGCAGAGTAAAGCACAGACAGGCACAGCATCAACAGGACTTTCTTATGGCAATGAGGAGTAAATTCCAGCACATATCTGCCCAGCAAAAGCTCTCACTGCCACCCTGTGATGCAGAGGTCCCAGCGCTTAACCACAAGGTCCTCCTCAGCACACAGGGCTGATCAGTCCCCAAAAAGAGACAAGATTAGGGGGATTTCCCGGAGGAATTTCTGCAGGGCTGCCGAGGTGAGCAGCAGGACGAGATCGGCATGTCTCCTGGCAGGTTAGAGGCATGACGGAGCTCCATGCAGGAGTTCCGGCAGCGCAGCCCAGCCTAGCACACTGCAGTAATAGATCAAGTCAGCTCTTTTACGAGCTACACCACACAGCACAGCGACCGCTTCAGCCTCCCCAGCGTCCGACCCACAGCCTCACTGCGCAGAGCTCGCCGTCACAGGCATTCACCTCCTCGACAGGTTTGGTGGTGCACACAGAGGCACGGTCTGGTGAACACGCTTCAGACAGGCCCGTTTCCGAACTCCTCTCTCCTCACCCTGCCTCGACGAGGCGGCAGAGGGCAGCACACAAGCAGGATCTGGGCAGCGAGGCTTCTGGTGAAAGAAAAGGAATGAATGGGAGAGACAGATGGAATCCATTTTTCCTGCTGTCAGGGATGGCGGAGAGACGGCGACACACGCCGCCATGCTCAGAGACAGCTGGTAACAGCTGCGGCGGTGGATGGAAAGGCAGGGCCTCGTCTGCTGTGGGGCCTGCGCTCAAAGGCCTGTGGGCTGCTGCGAGGCAGAGAGACCTCAGGCATCGCCTGGTGCGTTGAGGCCAGGACACTGCCCCTCTGCCACCACTTAGCGGGACCCGGCCATGCTTGCACAAGCCAGACACCAGCCTCCCTGCTCAGGGGTGAAGAATGGCCCCAGTGGCCTGGCTGAGGGCCCGGGGTGGGAGCAGGGCTCCAAGCACTGTGACCCAGATCCGGCTTTGCACTGGGCACCGCGGCCGGACTCAGGGCTGGCCCCGGGCGCCATCATCAGCCCCAGTGC